GACAGAGCCAGAGCCAAGGCCTGGGGCTCCTTTCTGTTCCTCTGCCCTCCTCGCAGCACTTTTAATCTTGCCCATCCCTCCCATCTATCTTCCCACAGGTCCTTCTGCAGGGAGCACATCCCACGGCATGCAGTGGAGGCAACACCAATGCAGGACACAACCTGCATCATCTGCATGGAGCCTGTGGGGGACAGCAGGTCTTACAGCACCATGGTGTGCCCAGCCTGCCGACATGCCTGGTTCCACCGGGCCTGCATCCAGGTAGGAGCCCTCCCCTTGCCCAGCCGGCACAGCAGGTGCTCAGCAGCACCAGACCCAGCTCACGCTCATATTGCTTATATTTCTGTTGCAGGGAATGGCCCTGAACACTGGGCTTCACTGCTTCCAGTGTCCTCTGTGCAGAGACTCAGACCTGTTTCTGATAGACATGCTCACCATGGGGATCCGAATCCCAAATAGGTTTGTATACTTCAGCTTGCTCTCAAGATGCGAGTACACAAGAGCTGTGCCTGCTCAGGGATGGCCCCAGCAGGCCTGGCTCTTTGCTGCCTGTGAGCGTTGGCCTCAGCTTCACAGAGAAACTGGACACATGGTTGGGGTGGAAAAGCAGGGATGGCCAGGGTCATCCTTTACTCCAGGGGGAGTGGGTGCTCATCACATTCCCTCCCTTCACTAACAGACAACCAGCGTGGGAGGACAGCGATGCCTACATGTCTCTTGGAGTCAGGCACCGGTGCTGTGATGCCAGTGATTGCCGTTACCCCCGTGGCAGGGAGCAGGCAGAGGAAGAGGGGTGAGTTCCCTCAGCAGCCCTCTGGGGCTCAGCGTGGGATCGCAGCCTCACCACGGGCTGGGAGAGCACACACTGGGCACCAGAGCTGTGCCGGCGCTCCCTGGCTCAGGTCACTTTGTCCTCACGGCCACAACCCGTTTGTTTCCCCAGGCCCTGGCAGCTGCTCCTCTGCAGCTCCTGTGCCGCACAAGGCACTCACCGGTGCTGCTCCAACTTGAGTCACAGCACAACCAGCTGGGAGTGCAACGCCTGTGCTGGAGACGGCACCGGTAAGAGGCAAACGGCCGCGTGCGGCTGGGCTGGGGCCAGGCAAGGTTTTGCTCAAATCCCTTTCACCCATGAGGAATGGGACCCTGTCCCACCGCAGGGCTGGAGATCTGTCCTGCTCACCTTCCTGTCTCCCCTTACAGCTTCCAGCACCAATTTGGACACTGCTGGCCCCAACACCATCAGCCAGCAGGGACTGGGGCCATCCCAAGGCCCCATAGGACAGGACAACAGCAGCTCCGGCACCACCAACCAACCAGATCACGATTCCCAGGTGCCTGAGCTGCTCTCCAGGCAGACACAGCGGGCCCGGACTCGAAGCCGCTCGCCTCTGGAACATCGGGCTGCAGATAACAACAGCCAGCCCCAAAGACTCCGCAGGAGCCGGTCCAGGCGGCGTGGGCCAGCCCAGGGGCGAAGCCGCTCCCGGGTTCCACGTGGGGCCCAGAACATCAACCGCCGGCCCCACTGATGTTGCGGGAGCTGCTGCGTGCAAGCTCCAATTGCTATCCAAAGTCATCCATAGTCCATCACAATAAAACAAAATTCCATCATGCCACTGTCAGTTTCGTTCTTCTCTGCCTTTCCCGACTCAAGGCAGCCACGTCCTGCCCACCTGCACAGCCATCCTGGATCCAACGTCAGAACGCGATTCCCCACCGCCGGCCCCAGTGATGGGAGCAGCCGCGCACTAGCCCCCCGTGCTGCCCCCGGGCCCCAGCGGCCATCACCACGAAGCTGGGGCATCCCACGCGCCTTTCCCGGTTTCGCTCTTCTCTGCCTTTCCCAAGGCAGGCGGCGTTACGGGCTGGGACCACGGGGCCGCCTTCCCTACTGGGCTTGGCGGCACCTTGCCCAGACCGCGGCCAAGACAGCTCTCTGGCGCCTGATAGCTGGACTGCCATCATCTAACCAAATACTCGAAACACCATTGACCTTTCATTAGTAACCTTCGGCAGCTCCTATGACACGGCAAACCCCCCGCCGTCCCCGAGGCGAACCAGCCCCGCCGGCTGCCGAGTCAGTCCCGCCCTGCGAGGGGCGGGCAGGCGGCGTGACGCGGCTGGCGTGGGGCGAGCGTGCGGCGGCGATGAGCATGGGGTGAGCGGGGCTGGGGGCCGCGGGGGCTGCGGGGGGCGGCACGGGGCCTGCGGGCGGCGCGGGGCTGCTTGGAGCGCTCGGGAGGACGGGGCGCGGGGCTCCGCGGAGCGCTGCTCCATCCTCTCGGGCTGCGTGCCGCGTTCGGTTCGTTCCTGCCGCGTGTGTAGCTGAAATGAGGCTTGGGGGGGCTGGGGGGTGAGAAAGGGGGAGAAAAAAAAAAGCAAATCGGCTTCCCATCTTCGGCCTGCGGGATTGGGTGTGTTGGAGGAAGGAAAGAGAGGAAGATTCTGGGAGGTCTGTGTTTTCCCATACGGACGAGCTTTTAAGAAGCAGGAAGATCACCGAGCAAACCAAACCAGCCCTTCGCTTTTGGGGATTTGTTAGAGGGATCCGCGCTTTTGAATGACAAAACACGGGAAGCGGAGCTGAGGTGCCGTAATGGGATTTTTTGCCCGCCTTGCATTGCCTGAAAAGAGAGTCGTTATTGGTTCGCCTTGAGAAAATGGGCCGGTGGGACTCGATCGAGCTGCTGCTTTCTTTCAGTTACCTCGCGGCTTTGCAGTACCGGTGCGTTGTGCAGAGCGCACCGAGCTCAGCACCGAGCCTCTCGGTTATGCCGCTTTCATTAAAAATAAAAATAGTTCCACATTCGCAGTAATACTGCTTTTGGAAAACCACCCTGAGGATGATTGCAGAGGGAAACCGCATCCCCCGTGACTCATGGCGTTGGGTTCCATGAGCGAAGGGGTTTCCACATCAGGAATGGAGCCCGGGAGCGCTTCCTGTGCCCTTCCCGCAGTCACTGGAAGCTTTCCCGTCTGTTTCACACCGCCCAGTGTGTCTTCTTACGTAAGAAGCGAGCTGTGTCCCTCCGGAGTTGTCTCCGGTTCCTGCCGGTGAGGTGCGCTCCACCCTGCAGCTCCGTGCCGGGTTCTCTTAAACACAAGTTTCTTCCCAGTGACGGGGTTTGTTTAATGCTTCGCTGTGCAGAAGGGCTGATGTCAGCCGAGACGTCCCTTTGTGTCCCCAGCGGGATGGGCACGGCTCACTCCTTCGGCGGTTTAAGCAGGAGATGACAGGAAGCAGCTTGGGCATCCTGTGCAAATACCGCTTGGACACTGCCCTTCAGAGGAGGGGGGAGGGGGAAGGATTGTTTCCACACGGTACCGCCTTAAGGCTCAGAAAGCATTTAGTTCCTCATTTTTGCACCGCCTCTGTTCCTACTCAAGTTACTGCTCCGGCTATCGCTCATAGATCGCTCATAGATCGGGCTTTATCAGCGCCTTCCAGCTCTGGGAGGGTTTGGCACAGCCGCACGGCTCCTCACCGGGCCGGGCCAGGTGCGCTGTCTCCTGGCGGCTGGGAGGACCTGCGGCAGTGATGCTCTGATCCTGCGGCAGTGTGCGAGGGCCGGGCTGTGTCGGCTGGCAGCGCAGCCTTCCCGTGTCCTGTCCAGCTGGGAGTTCTCATCCGCTCGTCCTCTTGCTCTTTTTGCAGTGTTTATTCGGAGGTCTTTGGGAAACTCCGGTAAAGCATCAGTTGTCAGTAGGTTTCTTTTCATTGCTGTCCTTCAGTGGTAACTTCCTTCGGTGTTTAATGCTGAGCTCCAGGTAGCGCTGAGGCAGGAGGGCACTGCGCTCTGGCAGCCCGGTGCGGTCCCAAACACAAGCGTGTAACATCCTGCAGTCACCTTATGGTTGTTTATTGAGGCAATAAATAGCATTCCTTGGCAGTGCCGTAATGACATACTTTCAAGTGCTTGGAAGCACTGTGCTTCCCACAGGACTGCACTTAAAAGCAAATTAAGCATTTTGTACAGACAAGTCAGCATTAACTTGGATTCGTATGCTTTCTGTCGCTGGTTAATTCTTAAAGATTATTTGAAGCTGTTAGGTCAAAGTGCAGCCATTAAATTTGTTAAATCTGCCACTTGTTCCACACACACAGAATGCCATCTTTACAACCCCCACTGTTAGTGAATACACTGAAGGTGTTTCACTTTCTATTCCTTTCCAACTGGATTAGCACAGTGTTTGGGTAGGTAAGGAGGCAGGGTGTTTCAGAACATCTCTGTCAGAGTCACAGAGGCAAATATTGTAGTTGGCACAGCTGATAATCAGTCATTCTAAACCAAAACACAAACGAGATTACCGTTGTGCGCAGTTAATTGGATTCTGTTCCTAAATGAATTACTGCCTTGAAATTACAGCTGATGGTGTAATGGATACAGTGATGCCTGAGGAAAGGCTGTGCATCCTTCCGCGATGAGAAAAGGGAGCAGCAGCCTTCTGGGAAGCCTCAGTCAGCAGGGACAGGACACTAGGACATTCCCATGGACTTGTGCTTGCTCCTGATCTGGGTGCTGCCTTGCAACGTGGTTCTTCTCTGGAACTGAGAAAATCCACGTTCTTCTGCCCACCCTTGTCTGAAATGACAGCCTGCTAAGCATCCCAAAAACTCAGCAGTTCTAACTGTGGAAGATGCAATTATGCTAATTTGCTGTCTCTCAATTTAGATGTTTTTAACCATATGCATCCTCTGTAGGCATGGTAAAAAAATACAGCAACGCTGTGCTGTACTGTTTTTCTCCTCCCTGCAGAGCCCTTTCCATATGGCTTGCATTCAGACACAGCTTATCTCAGCAAGAGACTGTCAGAGCAAACACAGGTGGGGGAGCCCTCAGACAGGGAGGGGTTCTGCAGCTCCAGACCAGAGGAAGGCTGAAGAAGCAGTTCCTTGTCTGGACTCATTAATGTATCTCAGGTAGACTTTGCTCCAGTCCCAACAGTGTGCTTCCATCTTTTGTAACAGGGATGACATGATTCATGTGTCCATTCCCCAACAGAGCTGCGTTCTGTGGTTAGGGAAGCCAGTGGGTGTAACCCAGTTTGAACTTCCTCTGATGGCGGTTTCAGGGTGTTTGGCAAGTCAAACATCAAGCTGCAATGCGTTTATGGTCTGTAGGAGCAGGGTTTTCATACAGCTTGTGGGCACTTTGGTGCTGAAGGTCGGTGGGTTTGCCTGCAGCAGTGTTGACCCTGCTGGAACACAGTTCTCATGGCACTTCAGCCAGCAGACCTGGGCAAAAATGCATTCATGGCAGCAGCTCATGCTACAGTGACTTCCTTTACAACAGGGCTTACAAAATGTGGCAATTTTAGGGATTCGAGTGACTGAAAAGTTCTAAAAATGTTACTGGAGTTGAACCTCGAATATTTTCTCAGGCCTTAAATGCGTTCGGAGCATTTCACGCTTCCTTCTGGTTCACGTGTATGGTTGAGGCCTCCAACATGGAAAAGGGCTGCCTTGAGAATCATCTGTGAACCTTTTGGATCCTGGGTTTGGTGGTTCCTTTTTAAGCTGTCACTCGTGTCTCATTCAGTACCCAAAGGGGGGAATCAGGCGCTCATCACCTCTCTCCCTTCACGTAAACTCATGTGTGATTATCAGTGTACCTTAAAGGTAAGATGAGTCTGCAGGGTATGCTGAGGACATGATGACTTAGAGCTTTCCAAATGCAGGAGAAGAGGAGTAGAAGGGGAGCAAGGCAAAGCGAGGTGATAGGACAGGGGAGTCCTCTCTTCATATTTAATTTCTATGGATCCTATGGAAACTCACAGTTTGTGCTGCAGCGATAAAACTGCTGGCAGGCTTGTCTTTTGTCTTCAGTTAAATTCTTGGCTAAAGTTAGCTTTTATTATGTGAGGAGAGAGAAGCAGGAAATGGCAGTGAATAAGCTCAAGCTGTTTGTAAGCATGTGGTTTATGCAGAGACGATGGTATATCATGCAGCACTGAAAACTTGCCTTCAGAGCGGGACACCAGCAGAGCACTCTGATCGCGGGCTGCGGCTGCTTCCATTCCTGCACTGCAACATCTGTGTGCAGGATCCATGGGGTAAGGTGAATTCGTGGTTTGGCTGTTGTTTGGTTTGGGCTTTTTGTTTGTTGAACCACCCAGGAGGTGTCTTTAAGCTGCAGTCCTTTGTTCGTTTTCATGTGTGTATGTACGAGGCAGGAGAGCAGTTACTTAGCATGAATGGTTTGTTTTTTTAATACTTTCAGAGACCTTTCAGAAGAGTTCATGAGTTGAAAGCAAACAAAGCAGTGGTTTCTTAGCAGAGAGGGGTACAGACTTTCTGGAGCTAGCACACAGCAAGAGCTTTATACAGTGTGTGGAGTATCCCATCTCCTAGAGCTCAAACAGAGCTGTTTTGGCCTCTCTTGGGTTCCACCTTCTGCCTTCTTCTGAAGCCTTCCTGTGCTTTGTTAGGTAGTTTTACCCGTGGGAGCCCCGTGGGTCTGTAATCATTACGTACTCTGCATCGTGGCAGTGCCAGCAGATGTGTGCTGGGAGATGCTCAGGTCAGCAGTCCTTTGGCAGAAAAAGAAGAGATATTATTACAGTCAGGTGCACTGTTAAGATACGTCAGAAGAATTGCCAAAACTAGCAGTAGAAAACACAAGGGAAAAGTGTATTTATGAAGAGCTCCGGTGTTGATGGGGTGTCGTTGCAGCAGTGCTGTTGTAGTATACAAGTTCAGCACACATATGGGTTCGTTTTCCTGTCTCAGTGCCTTCTGCTCTTTCAAGAGCTGAGCTCACAGCAGCCCAGCCTGGCAGCAGGGAAGTTCTGCTGCTGCTGCAAGGTCAGTGACAGAGACACCAGCAGCAATCCCGCCGTGCACACTCCTTAGAAGTCCCTGGGAAGAACTAACTCATGCCTGTGTTTTGCTTCCTGGCTGTTTTTGAAAGCTTATAATTTTGGCCTGCAGTAAGCACACAGTCTGCAGAGCCGAATCACAGTGCTCACACGTGCAAACCTGGCACACCTGTGCTCTTAATGCGTGTTTCCATTCAGTTCCTTTGAAAATGCATGCAGAATGTCATCGTGCAGCTGTCGTGTCGTCGTTTTAGCAAAGCTGCAGACAGATGGTAAGAATGCACTGAGCGTTTCTAAGAACTCGGTGAAAGCAAGGATGTGGTGGTTGGTTTGTTTCCCTGAGCTTCGTTATCACCTCATTCCTTATTAGAGGGAGTAAACAGGCAAGGAGAGGAGAGAGGTTTGTTACCAATAAGCCAGAGGAGCCTGTGTTTCAGAGCGACCTGTGCTTATCTGCTGGCTGCCAGCTGGTTCTGTTAGCTCAACAGAGCTGAATTTGGTCCTGAAAGATGAACCAGACCGTGCAGGGTTCCTGCTGTGCCTGTTTATGTGTGATGGGTAGGTCTCTCTCCACGTGGTGTTCTCCGTTTCTCAGATCTGTTGAGATGATGCCCAGCCCTTGGTGAAGTTCAAAAGGTTCGTTGGCTGCAGAAGTGAAGCATCTGTCTTGTTTGCCATCTCTTTCTTTGGCAAGGGAATCTTTTTTCCTCGGCATCATTCACTACCAAAAAAGGCCTTTTCCTCCTTAACTGAGAAGAGCCAGAGGAAGAATCTCTTGTTGATGGCTAAGATCCCGTCCAGCCTAAGCTGTTCTGTAATTCTATGAAGTGCAAATAAAGCTGACAAGGCATGTGTGCATCTCCACATTTGTGCAGCTGTGTTGCAGTTATCTGTTTGCTTTCTTGGCAGTGTTTCTGATGCTGTCTCAGTGACTTCAGAAGGCTGCAGCAGTTCCTGCTTCCTGTTTGATGTGGAAATGCTTGGGTGCAGTTACAGTGAGCAGACTGCAGGCGCAGAGCTGGGGCAGCACAAGGAAAGCCATCATGCTATGATTAGTACATCACAAAATCCATGCAAAAAATTGTGAGGGATAATACACATTCAGTCACTAATAAAATGATTGTTCTGGTTGCATTCTTCAAGCTCCTGTAGAAATAGGGGGAGAAAAAGTGGTGGGACCTTTACTGGGGAGAAACACGCATTTTAGATTGAACCTACTCTGTTTGTCAACTCTTAGGCTCAGTGTTGGCTCACAGAGCGTTGGGTTGCTCCAGGGCAGTGAGGTGAGCTCTAGTGAATTTTGGCTGGGCACAGAGTGGGTTGCTTCTGCTTTCTTCTTTTAGTGTCAGTGGTATAACCTGCTGGTGTGATTTGCAGCCAGAAATGCTTTTCACGCTGAATGTCTGGTTGGTAGCCAAGCAAAAATTGCTGGGGCCCTGGAGATGCCATTTTGTTTGAAGATGTTAAGAGGAGGCTGAACAGGAAGAAAACTAGAGAGTTCTGTAGCCAAAATGTCTGTGAAGAAACAAAACCAGGATGGATGTTGCAACAGCTCTCCATTGGTTATTTTAGTGTGTTTTCTTCATTAAGAGCAGTTTCCTGCTATTGTTTCCAAAACTGCTGCCTGATGCATTCCATATGAAATAAAAAATGCAGGAGACTCTGGCCACCATGAAAGAAAGACTTCAGTTATCTCAGGCATAGCAAACAAATCACATGAACTGACACTTCAGAGGTCGTAGATCCCACTGTTTTGCCTTTCATTTCATTATTTGACCCCCAGAAAGACATACTATTGCCTAGACACTACATTTCCAAAAAGAGGTCTTTTAGGAAGTCACGTGGCCAGAGAAGACCAACAGGACCAACAACGAGACCAACAGTACCAACAAGAAGAGCAACGTAGGCTTGGTGCTGAGCACTGGATGTGCTCATCCTGTGTGATAAACAGCACAGGGAGGCAGGCGGTGCAGTAGCTGCGGGGAGCTGGGTGGATGGTGGTCAGATGAGTGAGACTTACTGCTTGTGCTGGCATCTCTCTTGCAGTTTTGGAACCCTTGTTGCGATTGGAGTGATCGTTTTTGCAGTGATTGTCATTACTATAATTCTGTGCCTCACTTGCTCGTGTTGCTGCCTGTACAAAGCATGCCGAAGACCGCAGCGTAAGTACCTCTGTGTTTATGTACCTCTCATCCTTCACAGCTTTGAACACTTTTTTCTGGAAGATTCTATTCCCATAGAAAGGGAAAACAATGCAGTAATATTTTCTTACTGCTGTGCTACAAGAGTGGCAGTAGGTAAACATGAAAAGCAAGCCTTTAAGTTGCTTAAAATACCGTCTTCGTCCTCTGAGATCAAACTTTAAAATGAGCATTTTGAAGGGAAGCACTAATGGGAAGTTGTCTTAATTAAAGTATTAATGAGGGTCTTTAGTAAGAGTATAGCTGAGATTATCTTGCATGCAGTCACAGAAGCAGTGAGCGTGTTTATGACAAGGCTGAAAACGAGTAAAACAAGAGGATTGGTTTGTTGTTCCCTGTGCAAGAAGTGGAGCCTTGAACGTTTGTAATTGTAGAATTAAGGTGAAGGTCACGTGCAGTTCATTAGAAAGTGCTGTGCTGCAATAAGAGAGATGAACCAATAACCCACTGTCCTCCCTTCCTGAAATTGATGTTGATTTGCCTTTCTGACTGTTCAGAGAGGCATAGATGTGTTAGCATGCAGAGTGCATGTGAAAGGAAGCTCATTTGGAGTCTTGTCTGCAGAGGGAGATCTGTAGCACCTTCATCCTTTAAAACAGAAAGCATTTTCTACATTAGGTAGTTTTTCCAGTCTTCTACCAAATGGTGGATCACTTGGCTGCAGGGTTCAGTCCAAGGAGAGATTCCTTTGGTCTTCGTGGCTGAGAACCAAGGAGGTAAACCGGCTGCTCTCCTGGTTCGTGTGAGCTCTTGCTACCACTTAGCCCAATGGAAGGATATTCAGAGAGAATTTCTAGAGCTGCTGTGGAGCTTCAAAAATGAAACTGTCCCAGATTTTAGAGGAAGAGAAGAATTTCTGGAAGGAGAACGTGCTTTTACATTAGTGCCGCGCTGTGCCGGCGAGCCTCCGAGAGCCACCGGCGCTAACCACGCTCCTTTGGTTGTTTGTAGCTGCTGTGACCACCACGACCGCCACAACAGTGGTTCACGCGCCGTACCCACAGGCGCACGGAGTGCCTGCCAGCTACCCCACAGCTCCGTACCAGGGATACCAGCCCGTGGCCATCCAGCCACAGCCGGGGATGCCGGTCGCACCCTACCCTGCTCAGTATCCTCCCCCCTATCCCACGCAGCCGCCAGGACCCCCGGCCTACCATGAAACAGTGGCAGGTAAGAATGTTTTGGTAGCAGGATGTTTTGGTAATGTAGAGTAGAAGCAGAATGTTTTAATAATCCGGTTGAAATTTCCTGTTGAAATCAAAGCCCAGTGAACACATAACAGAGTCTAATTCTGAAGGTTAACCCATACGCAGGTGGCTTTTGCTAGTATCTGCATTTTATCAATCGTTATTTTTATAGAGAGAATACCCAGACTCATCACCTTCAGACAACTTTGTTGATGGCTGGCAATTTGTTTTTCCTTCTGCTTTTCTTCTTTCATAGCATGGCATTCACGTAGCCTTGCTGCTGCTGATTCTGCCTTGTGCTGGTAATAGCTGTTCTCTGCACTTGGCTCCCAGCTATTCAGAGGCCAAAACTAGAATCACTCAATGATGGAGCTGGGTTGGAAATGACCTTAATGATCATCCATATCGCCAGTCTGAAAAGACAGCTTTTCCATTATTTCCCTCGCCTATTAGGCAAGGGGCAGCCTTTAATTAGGTCATGTGCAGGAGGGAGAATACCTGCCGTGTCACACAGGAGCCAAACCCACTCAGCTTGCAAGAGGAGCAGCTCACGGCCATGTTTGTGTGTCCTGGCAGTGTGAGCAGGCGCTGCGTTATCTGAACCACCTCGTGCTGCTTGGCAGACCTCATGAAGTGCTGCCTCGGAGCAGCGTGGCTCAGAGTGCCAGAAAGTGAGGGTGTTGTCTGAGTGCTGCTTTTGTGGTTTGGGCCACACTCTTCAGCCTTTAGCGTGCCTGGTGGTGGTGGGCTGCTTCTTAAAATCAATTATAGCTTGGCAGTGAAGTTGTTGACACAATCGTACTGCTGAAGGAATCCTAAGGTGCTCCTTCTTCTTCTGCCCAGTGGTTTATTTTCACTTCTCCGCGTACCGTCAGGTTCCTCCCGTTGCTTGTGCATTTCTGCAGAAGTTGTCATGTTAGATGGAGAATTCTGAGCTTCACAAGCCTGCTTTTCCTGTGCTTTGCTTTTGCAGCTGGTGCTGGAGCACCGTACCCCATCAGCCAGCCCCCGTACAACCCTGCGTACGTGGATCCTCAGAAGCCCACCTACTGAACAGCTCTGCCACCGTGCCCCGTGCAGCTGCACTATGTTATCCTGGAAGACAGCAATCTTTTGTCTAAGTAAAGTGAACGTTACCTCCGTATCTTCTTTGTTTTTAAGCGCTTTCAGTACTTCTGGCAGGAGTTGTTCATTTATACCTCAAGTAAATACAAAAAGAGATTGTGTTCAGAACGCAGAAGGGGTGCTGCAGAAGTAAGAACCACAATAAATTTCTCGTGCAATAATTTTGAAGGGTGGTGGAAAGGAATGGTCCTCTGTGAGCTGTGTCAAACACCCAGAGCTGTAGCGATCTCTTGCACAGAATCATAAAAGCGTAATCTCTGAGAAGCTGGGTGAAGATGTTCTGCTTGTTTTAGGGTTGTTTTAATGAGGGCAGCTCCAACCTAACGCATTTCATCCATCACTTAAAAGGGAACCTTTCTTGGAACACGTCTGCCTGTGGTGAGAGCAGAGAGCCGTGTTCGGTTGTGTTGACGAGTTGCGTTATTCTGTGCTGAGTAGCATGAGTTGGTCACTTCCTTGTTTTATTTCCCAATTTTAAGGCTTGCAAACTGCCTTTGTTGGGTGTTTTCTCAGGCTGTTTTAGTTTATAGCTAGAAATTGACAATAGAACCAAACCTTCTGCCATTCCTTAGAACAAACAGGTCAAAAGCTGAAAACCTGGGGGGGTTCTTCATTAAAAAATATTGGACAAAGGCTTGGTTTGCTGAATAGTCATACATTGTTGAGTACAATGGAGGAAATAGGGTAGCACCATCGCCATCCATTGAGCAGAAATGACTGTCGGCGGTGTTTTGCCACAGTGAGGGGATTTATTTTGGTTTTATTTGGTTTATTCGGGAACAAATCGTGGTTTCCTTAGCGCCTTCTCTGATGCTGTTTCTTTCTGCATTGCAATGCGTGTTGTTCCTTGTGGAGCTGGATGCAGACCATGCTGTCCCTCACTGTGAAGTAACGAGTGAAGTAATGTGTAATTTCGCACGCTGGTTGTACTTGGAGCAGCCTTCAAACCACTTGTCCCATGACGTTACATTTAGGGTGTATTTCTGTTTGAAAAATTGTGAACTTGAATAACCAACAATGCTGTTTTACCTCATAGGATGGTGGAAGCTGCTGCTGTCAGAGGCAGCCTTCTCTAACTGATTTTTGGGTCTGTATTCTAGGTTATTCCAATGATTAAGAAAAAAAAAAAAGTCTTCAGGGCATTTCAGGACAAACCTGAACAAAGTTTTTTAGTGTCAGTATTCACAACAAGCCACGTCCCTCTGTTACAGCCCTGTGCTGGAGTTAATAGCATGAAGTGGTGCCAAGAGGCACTCGCACAGCAGGCATGCCTTAGATCCTCATGTCCCTCCTCTTCCCTGCCCTGCAAGCCAAAAAATCAGGCAGTGCTTCCTTACACTGCTAGGAGTTCTGTGAGAACACCCAAAATGGGCAGCGATTCCCATGCGGAGGATCAGGGATAACTGGGGGGGGAGGGCACCAAGGAGCTGCAGAAGCAATCCCTTTTCTGCAGAAGAACTTCCCACGTGTGTTTGTTCATGCAGGACAGCAGAGACTCCAGCAGCTTGGTTGGTCGGTGTACGGATGGATGGGGGGAGGTGGGAGGAGATGAGGGACAGGCTTAAGGAGCATGAAAACTTACAGCTTTCCTCCAGCAAACGTATGCTGATGATAACTGTGTCCAAGTGAAGAGAGAAAGCAGTTCTATACGTGTTAATGATTGTAGTGTCACTGTTACAAAACTGGATGTCGGAAGAGAAAATGGCCTGCTTTCCTCGCTTCAGAACTGGAAGACTTAATCAGGTTTTGGCTTAATGTATAAATCAATGCCAACCATGTGGTGTAGGACCAAATTTTATTACCGTGGTGCAATCCAATTAAACTTCTTCTCTTATGGTTAAGCAGATGTGGCAGTTAGATAAATGATGGAGAACCTGGCCCATACATTGTGTTTCAGGCACTGCTCATGCTTTAGTCCCAGTAACCAATGTCTTCACATGCCACCAGTTACCCACCATTAAAGTGGGAATTCCCATTTTAAACATTGAGTCCAATTCTTTTTTAATTCTGAAAGTGCCTTTGGTTCTGTGGAATTCAATACAGTACAGTACTCTGTCCTATGGAATTTACTAGAGAATCGTTGACTTTATTACATACTGTACACTAGCTTTGTATGTTGTTTGTAGTTTAAACCTAAGTCTTCAAAAGAAATGGCATAAACTCTTTGCACCTTTGTAATAAATGCAGTGTTTGAAATACATTCTATCACTTTTGTTTTCTTAGCCTGTCCGAGTGCTATTTAAGTTACATTTTAATTGTGTCTGACATCAAGCATGTATTGTGAGTATCACTTTTTGGTAACGGGGTTTGAAATCCAATGGCAGCTACATGGCACAGCACAGGAAGGGTGGTGCGAGCTCCTGGGTGATATTCTGACAGAGTTCTTCAAAGGTAATCTGAAAGAGTTGCTTCTGACCTCAACTCCTGACACTGAACGCACTGACTAACTAATTCCAAGATCCTTGAGAAGCTGTGGACGTTTTTGGATCAAAGTCTGATACCTTTCTCATGCACGTTGGCTTCTGCTGAATGCTGTGCCTCGTTTTTCAACTGCTCCACATTGGCATGTGATGAGTGATGCTTCCTGGTCCATGTGAAAGCATCGTAGCTGATGGTTTTATGTATTCTAAATCATTCAAAAATGCTTTTGAAAGCATTAATGCTGACTTATTAGTCCTTCAGTTGAAAATAACATGCTTTGGGCAGGCCAAGGGTGCTTTCAGTAAGACACCAGGTAATACTGAAGTGGTTGGTATTGGTAGTCGTGATGGCCTTGAATCGTTAGCTAAGTTTCTTAAGAAGGATGTAAATGTGCATACATATATATATATTCTTACTTCACATTTTCTTAACAGGATTTCTGTTAGTTAAACGATGACAGAAACCAAAATACATGCTCCCTAAAAACCTAAACCTAGTTTAGTTCAGAACCTAAACTAGAAAACAGATGAGTTTTCTAGCCCAAACATTAATCCTAACCCTGAATTGCAGTTATTTCTGATGCTTGGGTTAGGGTTAGCTGTCTTTCCTCTCCCACAGATTATTCAGTAGCTGCATCTGTGCCATACGGATGAAACTGAGAAGTGACATCCTGGTGCTGTTTGCAGGAAGGAGGTATGCATGGCTCTGAGAGCAGAGCTGCTGCTTTGTCTGAAACGTCCCGATTCCCTCTAACCATCACCGAGAGCATAACGGATAGCTTCACCCTCTAAACCTGAAGCAAAATGTATAGCAGAGCAAAACAGTGAACTGACAACTGGAGAGCCCAGGGTTAGGTGAGGAGCACTGCTGTTTGCTTCCAGAGCTTGTAATCAGCAGCTCCTTACGTTACAGCCCGAACTGTTCCAGAACAAACGTTGGCGTGCATCTTAAAAGCCAGGGCAGGGTTGGACGGAAGAGCTGGACACACAGAAAGGGAAAAATGAAGTAGTTTTTGCCAAATGAGCCGTTAGATCCTGTTTTTTTCAAGTATGGAAACTTGCTATCAAATCTAGGCATGTCTGATTGCTTGTTAGGTCTGCTTTAGCAAATGGCTTGGGGCTGCTCTTGTCCTCTGATGGCTGCTGGGCCTCACTGATAGTGGCATGCATTGCAGGAACTGCATCAGCTCATAGGTAGGCGCTGTAGGAAGGAACGCTGAAGGTGAAAGGTGTCTTCCACAGTTGTTGCTTGGATAACGGATCCAGGCTCTGGCTCTGGGAAGGCGAAAGCATCCTGCTGGCTGTGGAATGGCAGAGGTTTGCTGTGCTGGACAATAAAACTGAACGAAGAGCAGCGCTAAGCTGATACGTTCTTGAGCGATGCACTTCTTGTGTTTCACTGAAGAACAGCTCAAGGTGTGAAATCAACTCTGACACCCCGATTCGTGCCCTTACAACACCAACATACGTTCCTGATCTGTGTTTTTTCTGCTGGGAAATCTCAACAGATATGTGGTTGTAATATTATAACTCATATAAAAATAAACTAGCTGCTTCCTCAAGATGTTTTCCAGAGCAGGTTACCATTGGAGCAGCTGCTCCAAACAGTATTTCAATTGCAAGCATTGGAATTTAAAATTTCAAGATTAGTCTCTGAAATGAGCTGTATTAACCTGCTGCAGGGGGAGGGAGCTCAGCACATTGTTAACTGCGCCTGTTAAACGTCATGCTGACATTTTTTGCTCTCATTCCAAGCATTTTAGAATCACAGCGTCTCGGTGGTTGGCAAAGACCAAAGATCCCCAGGTCCCACCGTCCACCCCCCACCTGCCCACGGCCCTCAGTGCCACATCCCCACGGTGCTGGGATGCCTCCATGGACGCTGACTCCCCCAGCTCCCCATGCAGCTGTGCCAGTGCCCGACCGCTCTTTCAGCAAAGACGTTCTTCCTAGGATCCAGCGGGGATCCCCTGGTGCAACTGGAGGCCGTTCCCTCTCGTCCCATTGCTGTTAGCTGGGAGCAGAGGCCGACCCCCAGCTCTCTACAAC